TTCCCTCCTCTGTTTCAGTTGTCAGATTTTTTTGATTTTTTTTTTGAAAACCAACTTCTATTTGTTCAGGGTGTCGGCTTGCATTGATATTAAATTGTTTATCTACTTCTACGAATACGGGCTTGTGAATGAAATATTTGCATATTTCCTTTAAGTTCGTTCTCGTATAAGGGCCTTTTTATTCTCTGAAAGTCTGAGGTTGATTTACGTGTGCTTTTGAGAGGTCTGTTCCTTTGACTTTTTTCTCAGCTTTCCCGTTACCCCAATCTGTGTCAAGATGAAATGTGGCATTGACAGTGTCATGCTGACTTGATTTGTCCTTTGAGCTACAGCGTGAAATCTCGTGAATGTAATCTGTCGTTTTGTTGAATCTGTCGTTTTGTTGAATCTGTCAGTTTGTTGTTTGTTTTTTTGTTGTTGCCCACTCCCAACACTAATTTGTTCCGGTGGCCTTTATGATATTATGTGGGTGGTTGGTGGGTGCTTTGATGTCATTTGCTCCTTCTTTCCTATCAAACGTTTGGTCGCTTTTTAGCATAAGGGGGCGCTATCCCGAAATAATGCTGTTTTGAGAAAATCAGAGGCAGAGTTTTTACCCCTTGTTCAGTTTCTTTTTAAATAAAAGGAGAGTTTTCTCTATAACCAAACAAATACACACCAACGACACCAAACTTCTCCTTTATGTAGGGCAATGCCCACTTTTGGTGTAGGTCAAGATTTCTGGAAACCCCCGAAATCTGGGTTAGCCCACTTGTCCTTAAAAGCGACCATTTATAGTCCTTTCTAATCTCTCCTCCTACTTTTCTTGTTTGCTCTTTAGTAGATTTCTAATCTTCAGCACTTATATGACCATGACCTATTCGCGTTGCAAGTGCCATAAAACCTCTGAAACTAAAAAAAACCCCACCCCAACTGAATTGTGATTTTGTATTGTTGTGCTTCTTTGAAAAGAAAAAAAACCAAACTTGCGCGCTCATATGACCTTAGCAGTTGCGAGTGCCGTAAAACCCTATACTACTACTACTAAAAAAAACTTAACATGCACTTCTTTTTTCCTCTGGTCAGGCTGATGGTTCCATAGCGAGACAGTGATGGAGGCGCTATTCTGCGTCCTGGACCCAAGTTGAGGTGTGACCATGGCCAGCAAACAGGCGGCGGCCAGTGGCAAGAAGCGGAAGATTGTCAACGTTCACCTGCTCAATGGAGACGAGCGCGTCATTCATGTCGATGTAAGTCCCTCCAGGTGTTGTGTAAAGGCTGTTCCTCATATAATTGTTGTAATAATAATAATGATAATGATGATGATAATAATAATAATAATAATAATAATAATAATATATGGCATATATACATAGTGCTCGGCTTTGATTAAAGTACACATACTCTGAGCGTTCAGTGTAGACTGAAAAGAAGGAGCAAATTTAATTAAAATTTAGCTATGCTTACAGTCTAGCACGCACATAGTTACAAAGTACACAGATTTTCAGGTCCGTAGTTTTTTTCTTTTATACATATTGTTTTGTATTTAAAACATATACGTAACACGTAATAAAATTTGTACTTTATAATGAAAAGATTTCAGCATCCCACAGTTTTGGTTATGTGTGTCATGTGTGCCAGGCTGCATAGACATACAGCATTTGTAAAGCAAATTTTAAGACAACAAAAAGAATATTATACCTACAGAACTGTGAGTCAATATAAAAGTAGGAAAGTCTGTCATTTTTGTTGTTGCTTGTTCAAAGGTTTGAGTGATATTTTGAAAACAAAACTTTTTTTTTTGGCCAAAAATTAGTCTCAGTCTCTGACAGATGTAAAAGGAGCTATATAATTGTGATTTTATCAGTTACAAATGTGCATGGTTCTGAAAACGTAATTAGAAATTAATACCATTTTAAAAGAGGAGCATATTTTTCTGGGAAAGGATTCTGTTATGATTTTATTGTTGAATTTACCCTCTGCCCACTGACTGTTTTCTGAAGGCAATTTCAGTGGAATTTAATCCTTCTTTCAGGCATTTGTTTCACCTAACTCCATGTGTGTGTCCGAAATTGTTTGCATAAAACTGTTGCTGTTTTGTACCATATGATGACATATTTTAAGTGTTTATTGTTGTTTTGTCTTGTGTAATTGTATGTGGGTTCCTTTCGTCTGATAAACATCATCATCTGATTCATAATGACTTGATTTTTTCCCCCTTTGTATTGCAGGTCAAATCCAAATTCCAGGAAGTTTTTAACCAGGTGGCAGGTCAGCTGTGCCTGCGGGAGACAGAATACTTTGGCTTGGCTTTCAGAAAAGGTGAGAGAGATTTTAAAGCCCTGTGATTGGCTGTACACGTTCAATCATTCGACTAACGACCTTGAAAAACAAACTCATTTGCTATTGAAGGTCAAAATCTAATTCAGTTGAATCGTCACTGTGCCATGATGGTAGCTTTTGTACCTCCATGGATAAAAATCTGGCTTGCCATGACTCGATTTTACTAAATTTGATTGGCAGAGTGCACTAGGTAGGCCCCTATACGGTTTTGACACAAGCCTATAAAGGGCTACCAAGCATGGCTTATGTCCTGGCTCCTTTCCCATTCAGAAGCAGCACAGGTGTGCAACCATCTCCAAAGGGGACACCTGCTGGAAAGAATTTTTAAAAAAAATGCTAACTGAACAGCAAAATGAATGAATGCCTATTCAACAGAAAAACACAGCTCTTTAATTCCCTCCATTAACACACACACACACACACACACACACACACACACACACACACACACACACACACACACACACACAAAATACAAATGATGCACTCACTTTATCTTATCATAGAGCCAAGTGCATTCGTAATCTCTGAGAAAGGTCACAGGAGTATAAAATTTATTCAGACAGTGCCGAGCTTCCAATGTTTGCTGTGGAACCATTTCTTTACATGACAAAATGAAAAGCACTGTTTATTCAATAGAATATGTTGGGTTTTTTTTGTCCTGTGATGCTGTCTTTTTCTTCTTTTTTTCAATTTTATATTAATGATCTTCTTAAATGTTTGTCTCTATAGCAAAGTGGTATCTTTGTGATGTTCAAAGCTTTGCATTGCAGTATGTCTGTAGTTTGGAATTTGTTTATTGACTGACTTGTAAGGTGATAATCTTGTGTAGAGTTGATATTTCTTTCATTCTTGTATCATCACAAGACGTTTTTACAGGCTATTTATTATCAGATAACCCGACATGTATCTTTATCAGGTTCATGTATGGCTGTCATGATTCATGAGTTTTCTTTCTTTTTTTTTCAGACAATGAATATCACTTTATAGTCTTGGATGAAAAGATCCACAAGCTTGCTCCCAAACAATGGAAATCTGGGTCTGGGGAGGTAAGTTTTGAAGCTGTACTTTCTGGATATAAAACTGTCTTACTTTTGTGTGTCATATATGATGTTGAGAGTATGGAACATGAAAGGATTTATACCCGAATTTCTGACTAAATCTTTGAGGGACATCAGTGCCAAAACCTCAGCTGGTGAACATTTCTTTTCGTCAAAGTCATGTTTTGAATGATTGTACTATTGTATTACTTTACAGTTGTTTTATTTTGGTAGTTATAGCTACACTGATACGTAACATGTCGGTTTTATTGAAGTTATGTTATCTTGTTAAACTTCTTTTTTTTTTATTCACTTGTTCATCTGTAGGTCACAGTAGTATTACTATTTGTCACGTTTTTTCACAGGGCACAGACAGCCAAGGCAAAGCCTTGATCAACCTATGGTTTCGAGTTCAGTTCTATGTGGATCAAGTCATTTTATTGAGGTAACTATCATGGTAGACAAGAGAATTATCATTTTCTACTAGAAATACATGGCACAGATCTTTATTTTCAGTTTTGCTATCTGTTTTTTTCATATTTGCATAGTAGTTAAAGAGCATTATATTATGAGTAGATTTCCATCTTCTTCGCGCTCAGGTCTATGCCAACTGCCGACCATCTTTGTGTTGAACTACTGTTTTCAACCTCAAGCTAGCACTCAGTTTTGCTGTGCCTAGCCGTGACTTAGTTGCTGGCTTTGACAATCAGTGCCTTAAACACTTCAGACTTAACCTTAAATATGGTGCCTTACAGGGCTGAAGTTGCATTGTAGATTTAACTTATCAATCTTTCCTATCATGCCTTTTTTGTTGCAGCTGCATGTTCCTATTAACATTACCCTTAGTGTCAAAGACATTTGAACTTTGGTTGGCGGGTGCTGTGATGTGGTTTGTTCCTTCTTTCCTGTGAAATCAAACATCTATTGTCGGTATCTCTCCTCCTTTTTTATTTTGTATGTTGCTCTAGAGACACCTGTAATCTTCGGCACTTATATGACGTATGTGTGTTGCAACTGCTCTAAAACTCTTACTAAAAACTAAACTTTGTGTTTCTTTCTATGTTGCTCTCTAATACCATCTGTAATCTTCGTCGCAGTGGGTGGTTGGCAGATGCTCTGGTTTGGCTTGCTGTTTCTTCTTTCCTTTCAAACATCTGTCGTCTTTATCTCCTCTTCTTCTTTTTTATGTTTGTTACTCTCTTGTAATGTTCACCTCTACTCTTCTGGCGCTCATATGACCTTATGCAGTTGTGAGCCCCGAGAATCTGTACCAAAAGAAATAAAATCTTTGTTGCTTGTAATATGACCTAATTGTGTCCTGAGTGCTTAGTGCCATAAAACTCTTCGTAAAATTAAAATGGTGGGTGATTGATGGGTGCTCGGGTGTGGTAAATCTATCATCTTTATCTCCCCTCCTTCTTTTTTGTGTTTGTTACTCTCTTGTAACACCTCTAATCTTATATGACCTTATTGTGTTGCAAGTGCCGTAAAACTCGTACAAAAACAAAAACTAAAACGGAACTGTGTGTGATTTTTCAGGGAGAAAGTGACGCGTCACCAGTACTACCTGCAGCTGAAGGAGAACGTCCTCCAGTACAACCACCTGTACAACGAGGAGAAGTGCTTCCAGCTGGCCGCCTACGCCCTACAAGCCGACCACGGCAATTACCTGGCCGAGCGGCACCAAGGCGGTTATTTCAACCCGGCGCTTTACTTCCCGCAGTGGGTGAGTGGGTCGGATATTGGGGGGGGGGGGGGGGGGGGGGGGGTGCCCCTTTCCCTCAGTATGTGTGTCTGGCTTTAGACACGTTTTTCCCTGTGCGGGTCTATGAATGGGATTATTTTGCTGGGATTTTAACCTGAAGAACAGTCGCTGTGTAAATAATAATCTGCAGTACTTCGGCTACTTTCACTGCAAACTGGTTTTTGCTTTCAGTATATTACGAGATGAATTTTCCACACTCTTCACATTTCTATTGTACTGAGGAAATGTTTTAATAGGACCAAACGTGAAAAGAATCCAGAACATTTTTGGTAATAGAAGGTGTGTAGTGGTGATTTGTTCCTTTTATTCAATGTGGCAAGAGAATTATTTCCACACTTATCTAATTTTTTAACTGTTCCATTTGTGTGTCCAGATGCTTGACCGTCATGGAGTTGACTACCTTGCCAACAACATGCCCACCATCCACAAGGATCTGCACAACCTGACGAAGAACGATGCGGAGCTGCGCTACATACGCAACGCGTCCATGCCCCCTGGTGGCCACAACCTGCACTTCTACACGGTGCGCAAGCGCAAGTCGGACAAAGTCTGCGACACGTGGCTAGCCATCTGCGCTAAAGGGGTGGAGGTGTACGAGGTGAGAAATCCAAGAAAGGTTGACAGTTTATCTTGCTTTGACTGTTTAAGATTACTGTTTTAGTTTGATTCCCTTCTGGGCTAGAAAGATAAGACAAAGCTTTTCAGAGGTTTTGTATAGCTTCCCAAAGATATGATAAAGCAGTTCAAAGTCATAGCGAGCAAGATGGAGAAAAAACTACTTTCGTGTTCTAGCTTGTCTAGATGAATATTAGGTGTCACTGGTAACACAATTCAGTAGAAGAGAGCTGATAATAAATCTTTTGTTAATTTATTGTTTTTAAGGTTCAAAATGTCTCTGAATTTTTTATTAAATTTTTTTAGAGGATATATTACTTTAAAAAATTCTGCACAGGTTTCATTAATTTTATTTATTCATTAAAAAAAACAACAACTGGTCATGCACTTTAACCTTTTTAACTGAATTATGATTTCTTTGTCTATTACAGGATGATGCTGGCTACAAAAACCACATATCAACTTTCTTGTGGAAGGACATAGCAAAGCTGTACTTTGATGTGAGAAATTTTTCTAGCTTTTGTCTTGAACAATGTTACTTTTACGTCTGATTTCCTCATTGCTTATGGAGTATCCAGGAATGGTATATCTTGCAGCACGGTGTCTGTTTAACTGTTACTGTATTCAATGTTTTATACTGATTTTACTTTTGTCTTCCTTTGTTTTGCTCTTAAAGAGGAGCATCTGTATTTGATAGACTTGCGAAAAATTTGTTATTGCAGTATTTGAGTTTCTGCTTTTTTCACTCATAAGATTGCAAGTGGGAACTCTTCTTTACTGCTTTAAGATATTTATTCCCCAAAACACACTGTAAGCTTTGGGTTTTTTTACTGCAATATTTTTTTTTATCTCACGTTTTTCTCTCAATAAATTTTCAGAAAAAGAAATTTGAGATCCGCTCAGTTCAAAGTGCGGGTGGTCGCCGGTTCATGTACTACACAGACTGTGACGTCAAGTCCAAGTACCTGCTCACCATCTGCCGCAGCACGCACATGTTCCAGATGGCCATACAGCCCAAACTGATGGAGATACATCACCTGGACAATGAAGGTTTGTCGTCTTCTTTTGCGGGTGTTTTTTCAGAAAGTTTTGGCTACTTTGAACGAGAAACGGGTTTTAGAAAAAGTTCAGCGTCTGTACGAGAAAACCACCTATGGCGGATTTCGCGATAAGGACCCACAGGTTTCCCACTTTCCCAATATTTTGTCAGGATTTTGAAGTTTTTCAAAGGGTTATGTATTTTATATCAATGAAAAGGTCTATTAAAGAGGAATGTAAAAATGTTAGAGAGACAGCAAAGGCTTGTGCAAAAAGTAATGTAATAAAATGTAACCTTACCTTGGTGCAAACAACACATCCATGAATACCACTAAATTTGGTATAATGATCCATTTAATCGAATTCACTGGCCATAAAAATCATTATGTACACAATAAATTAAAATAATAAAAGTAAAAATAGCCTAAACAATAAAAAATGGGAATAACTGAAAGAAAAAAAAAAAGAAAAAGAAATCAGTTGGAAAAATGTCTCCCAGCGCCGGAACAGCCTATAACACCTCGAAATCACCCGCAACAATCTGGACGGCTCAAAGCATTATCGGCATCGAACAAGACAATCTCTAAAAGAACGTGCTATTTTTGTCCCTAACGTCATTTGTTTACTTCCTAAAAGTGCTACGCGTTGTGTTGCAGTCTTTCAATCAATATAAACATAGTAAATATGACAGATAAACGCGTGTAATTGGGTTGGATTTGTAATGGTTTCCAACGTTGGTGTGTTTCTTGCATTAGAGTCTTAAAAGAAAAACTTGGAAAACAGGACAAACATCCATCTCATCGAAAAGGACGCTAAAGAATGAAAGAATGACCCCAAACGGAAGTAGTATTTAGCCTCGGCTGCGCGGAAAGTCCTCGTGAATTTCCGTAAATCTCCGTAATATGCCGATTTTGGCCGTTAGATGTCAGCGCCTCAGTGGGAGGGGTGCGTCACATACGACTCTCGAATCTACTAATAATTTCTTCAATTTTCGCAAATTATGGCTACAACCGATGTAGAAATGAGTATCGCGTAATCTGAGCATAAAGACTTACATTCATTTCACTTTTGGAAGTAAATTTGGCACTTCCTGTCAGGTCAAAATGTCGGACTTAGTCCTGCTATTTACGACCACCATTTCTCTCTATCCGTTGCTGTAGGAACTGATGCTAGATTTCCTTATCACGTTAGAAAAACATACTTCTTGCATGTTCTAGCCATTTTTTGAGAAAATCTAGCATAATATGCCATTTAATACGAAAACTGTCAGATTTGCGAACATCGTGAAACGCACTAAGTCTAAATCTTAACGTCCGCGACACTGTTACACAAAATATCAAACAAAATAAACAAAGTCAACACTTATTTTTTATTCCCATGTTTATTGGGCCCACAATCAAAACAACACAAATTGAACACAAAACTGTACAACAAGAGAATTTTATTTAAAAAACAAACACTGTGTTGTCTCTCACACCCTTACCGTGAAATATGCCGATAAAGTTATCCCTTTACAGGGTTGGCCCTCGTGTGCAGGTTGAAGCAGTCTGCTTCGTAAATGATATAAATTGTATAAATGTAGATGAAAACTTTTTAAATTGTATAAATGTAGATGAACATTTTTTAAATTGTAATTTATTAACTTATTGCAATATTTGAAATATTTATGTGATTTGTTCATCCAAGAGAAAGATTTGTTGCTTTTGCTTGATTGACATTTTTCCCCCCTTTTATTTGGCTTTGCAGATCAAAAGCGGTACCGCGAGTCCTACGTCTACAGCGAAGGCCGTGAGAAATGTAACCTCCAGCACAGCCCCAGCAAGTCGATGAGTGTCACGGGCAGTAGCACCAACCAGCGCTTCTCCGTCATCAGCGACGCCAGCTCCAACACCACCAGCGGCATCGTCAGCGACCGGATGGCTGTCAGCTTTGATGATGGCGACGGTAAGTTAAAAGTTAAAGTACTTTTTACATCGCTCACAGCTGTCAATACAGGTTTGTTTTTTTAAAACTAGAGTGTTTTGCAGCATATTGAAAGGAGAGGTTAAATTACATTTTGTTTGGTATACTTAAGTTTTAGTGAGAGTTTTATGGCACTTGCGACACATATATATACAAATGTTATAACCTATTCAATTCATTCTTCTGCAGTGTCGATGATTGTGTAGCGGTTATTGTTTATGATTAAGATGATAATTGTATGTGTCATCACTTAATTTACTTGCTGTTATGGCACTGTGTTCACGATGTTGCATTTCATGACCCTTGCAGTGTCATTTTGAAGGGGCACCTTTTTATTTGAAGTCTCAATTGCTTGCAGTTTTGTGTTGTCTTTTAGCCCAGCTGAAGTAGAGTTTTCTTTCTTGCTTTTGAGCGTCTTATAGCATTTAAATGAAAAATGAAGTGAACAGAGAACAAAAATACAGTTTGTGTTTACTCTTGACCACTGTCCTTTTCTTTTCGGTAGATCACACCAGAGAGTTTATGATTGACTGCCCACCACGGTCAGCTGTTGGCGGCACCCCGAGTCAGATCAGATCAAAATTCCAGCCCTCTTTCAGTGAGTTTTTGCTTTTGTCTTTAGTGAGCTGTGTGTGACTTTTTAAAGTTTTTAGGTTGTTTCTGACATTTGTTGTTTCGTGGTTTTTGCAAGTTTCACATAATATTTGCTTCTTTTATTTCATCCAATCGATATAGTGGTTAACGCTTGACATTAAAGGGGCTGGGTATTTTATATGACTTCTAGTTTTGGTTTTGAGAAGATTGAAGATAAGTGAGCTAGCTAATCCACTTTTGCATTTTGTACAGCATTATGTGGTTGTTGTTCTTGCTCCATGTGTACTGTTCATCTATGTTAGGAATTTTTACTTTTTCAAGTCATGTTGTGTGCACCAGCTCATACTGGGGACTTAAGGTATGGAAAAAGATGAATTTTGTATATGAGGTTAAAAATTCTAGCCTAGTTGATGTTTTCATCATAATTTTCGCGTTCACTCCTCCACAGGCTTCAAACAGAGCCCACAGGGCAGTAAAGCTAGTCCCGTCTCTGCTCACCCGCACTCATTGGATCTGTGTAAGCCCGACGCCGGGGTCTCCCCGTCTCAGGAGCTCTCCCCTACCAGCAGCACGGGCAGCTGGCGGTTACGACACCACCCGGGGGCCACGCCGATGCGCCTGATGAGCCTGCCCTCCCCGACCACCCCGACGCAAGACACCCCCGGGAAGGGACTGCGGAGGAGTGGAGGGAGACGAGACAGCTTCAGTAAGTCGTCTCAGCTGTTACCTCCAGGATCTTTACTGCTGACGTCTGGGGAGCGGAACACGTCGGGTGATAGCGCTGTGTCTCTGTCTGGGATTTTCTGCGGAAGTGGCCAGGACAAACTGGCCCCTCTGTCGTTACCCCAGTCGGAACTGCGCGGTTGCCTGTCTGGCTCTCCGGGTCCTGGGGGAAGTGTGCAGCATGGTGGAGGAGGCCGGGGTAGCGGTGGGTCGTCAACTTACTCCTTGACACCCCCGCTCAACCTGGCACATCTCAAGAAGACTGGTGCGGGCCCGTCTCCCCCCACCTCACTGAACTTTGCCGGCGTGAGCTCAGGTGGCATGAAGGACTCATCCTCTCCTCGTGGAGGTCCTGGAGCCTACAGTCTAGGCAGGAGGGTGCAAGGGGAGCGCTCACCGCGGGAGCAACAACTCAAATCGCTGGGTTCTCCCCGGGAGCTGTGCCAACAGCAGCAACCAGCGTACAAACTTCTGCCCTCCCCGCTGGACATCAGTGACAAGCTCTCTCTGAGCTCCCCCAGAGCCAACATCCACGAACACTATCCCAAACCTGTGGGTTCTCCGCGGGGCGAGGGCCGAGAGGTCACCTCTCACAAAACCTTAAACTCTCCACAAGATTTGGGTGGCAAGGCTTACAACAAGCCGCTGCCGTCTCCCAGAGACAAGATATCGGAGCAGCTTAAGCTGTCCGGCCCATCGACGTCGAGCACACACCACGCCATGCTTGATTTCCCACACACACTACCTGCCAGCCCCAGCCCGCGGGCCACAGAGAGTGTCTATTCCTTCCCTATTATTTCTGCATTGCAACAACAACAACAACAACAACAACAACAACCTGTGCAGACACAATCACCCCAGCCACAGCAATTGACTAACATCCAGGCACCTCTTCCACCTCCTGCTGAGGTTGGTGCTGGAGAGTTTCACCAGTCACGAGGTGTAGAGCAGCAGCCTCTTGAAGGCTCTTCCTCTGGGGTCCTCACCGATCACACGTTGCTGGCATCATTGATGCAGCATCAGCAGCAGCAGCAGCTCACAGCTGCTGAGAAGCAATCAGTACATCTACAACAACAACAACAGCATCAGCAGCCTCTGTTCAAATCTCCCGCTCCTGCTCCTTCGGCCACGTCATCATCGGCCGTGACAGACCACTACCTTCTTGCTCTGCGGCAAGGAAATGCTCAGCTAGCGGAGAAGTCTCCATCGGCCCAACGTGCGGGAATGGGAGGGATAAAGAACATCCTGGAGAAACTTCCGGCTCCCCAGGCTGGCCTGACTATGCCTCTGGCTGACCACATGAGAGCTGACCAGAAGCAGCAGCATCAGCAGGTAGCACAACCTCTCGATCAACGTCTGCAGCAGCAGCAGCAGGTAGCACAACCTCTCGATCAACGTCTGCAGCAGCAGCATCAAAACCAGCAGCAGTACCAGCTGCAGGATTACATCCCTTATGGTGTCGCAGTGAAGGATTCTTCACCTCAGAACAAACAGGTAGTTATCTGAGGGAGTGGTTGGTGGGGCTCTCGTGTGGTTTGCCCTTCTTCCCTAACTAACATCTATCATAATCACCTCTCCTCCTTTTTTTCGTTTGTTACTCTCTTGTAACACCTCTAATCTTTGGCTCCCATATGATCTATTTGTGCTGCAAGTGCTACAATACTCTGACCAAAACTAAGAGTTATCTGATAACCAAAGGCCTTGGAACTTGGTACCACTTTAGTTTGCAAGCAGAAGAGGGACAGTTCAACAGCTACAGGATTGATATGTTAATCTTCGACTTTGTTGTTTCTTTTATTATTGTGTAGGTGTCATGGGTGTTGGGAGTGGGAACCTGTCTTTTTTGTATCAATTGCACAGAGCAAAGTGAAATGGATTAAAGTTACTTCTGGCCGTGTGCTAGTATTTATGATAGAATGTCTTTAATCAATAGGTTGGGTTTTTTTGCTGGAGATAAGATGTCTGTAGTAAATTTGAAAACAATGGCTTATCTGCTCAATATAATATATGTAGAAAAAGGTTTGTGAAAAGGAATTTTCTTGTGTTTGCATTTGCCTAAATTACCCAGGGTTTCAGAGTTTGAATTTTAATTATTTGCTCTGTGTGTCTTCATGGTTATTAAGAATTAAAGTAACCATGACTGCGCTTAGAAATGAAGTGTCTACACCATGAAAGAATAGTTATGTCAGACCTATGTTGGGTAATAGTCCTTATGTATGTCCTGCTGTAAAGGTTACTTTTATGTGGAAAGAATGCCTCTTTTGTTTTTCCCATTTTAAGGTAGAAATTTCCCATTCAAGGAAAGCAATTTTATTGCTTTTTAACCAGACTGCATGTCTTACTGGAATGGGTTGCTGGGTAGCTTTGGAGGCCTACAGTAATTCTTTCAAAGTCATCCATTGCATTTATTTGTTGCCTTCTTTGTTCTCTCTAAATCTGTAACTTGTAAGTTCTTTTATGACTCAAGCACTATCTTATTTATTCGCACAGATTATCAGCTCAGATGCTGGAGCAGAGATGGAGGAGAACAAGGAGAATGTCTACCATCAAGCCAACGACTTCAACAGTGGACGAGACGAACAGCAAGAGGAATTAATGGAAGAACCGGTGGTGGCAGAAGAAGAATGTGAGAGGTCGTCAAGTACTGCCAACATTTCAGAGGCTGAGAGTCGGAACAGTGAGTCCACTTCACACAGTGGGAATAAAGGCGTTTTGCATCCAGAACTAAAGCAGATTCTTGGCCAGTCACATGCCATTTCCCTGCCCCTCATCACCGCCCTGTGTAACGACTCCTCTCTGGTCCAGGCCTCGCGCTCTCAGTCGGGCTCTCGTTCATCGTACGACACCTCCACCATGCGCTCAACTGACTCGCGGCTCACGCGCCTCTCCCACGACACGGATCCCCGACGCTGGTCTTCGTGTTGCCAGGCGGCAGGTGGTGGTGTGCCAGAGGTCATGCTGTCGGTGCAGTCGTCACGACCTTACAGCTGGCACTCCGAGCACTTTGACCTGGACTCGCACTCGGCCACCCACCCACGACAGTTGGCGCTTCTCCCAGCGCCCTCCGAGGAGCCCAACCTCCCCACCACCAGCCCGCCGAACCCGCGAGCTGTCCTCATCAACAACAAGCAGCTCGCTCTAGCGGGAGACAACTCGGAAGTCGGCGGTGGGAAAAACAACGTCCTGCTCCTCCCCCAGAAGATGATTGAGTCCGACCCCGGGCCGTCTTCTCCGCACACCAAGTCAGGCTACAGCGTGAACATCTCGTGGTGGGACGCCCCGCCCAGCGCCGCCGGCTCCGACCCGGGCTCTTCCTCTTGGGTAGACGCCCTGCCCTACAGCCTGCCTCCCCAGCACCTGCCCAACAAACATCCGGGCACCAGTAGCATGCAGCATCTTCAGCATCACCACCACCCCCACCCCCACCACTACCATCAGCATCAACATCAACAGCAGCCGCTGATGCCGCGACAGAACATGGTTCCGCATAAACTGAGCAGTGGAGGTCACAGGGACAGTGACTCTAGCATAGCTCACAAGCAGATCATGAAAGAGAACATCGGAATAGCTTGATAGCTTACTTACTATGTTCAGCTTTTTGCTCCTTTAAAGAGTACAATAGAACAGCTCCACACTGTCCTAGGGTACAAACCTGTTCATATTCTGGCCAAACTGAGAAGCGCCACAGGTTTATTCGAGCTTTTCAGGCTTTGCACAAAAGAATGGCCCTCTTCCTTTCCTGGTCAGATGTTTTCTGGTAGAAGTGAAATCTGCCAGCAATTTTGAGTCAAGGGAATCAACTTCTTCATCCATGAAATAGTTATGGGTGATGCAGTTGCGTGCAGGAGAGATGTTAAGACCTTGTTTGGTTCGGCCTATTTTTGTCTCAGATAGCTGGCTAGCATACGTTTGACCCAGTATGCCCTGAGACCTTCCTTTTTGGGGTGTCCTCTGCTAGGGAAACTGAAGAAGAAAGATTGTGTTTCTCTTGCTTTCTTAACTTGCAAATTATCGAAATGCAGGCCTGCTGTTTGCCGCCAGGTTCATAGTTTGGCTCTTGTGAAAATATGAAATTTTACGTCTCTTGTGAATTATTTGCTCGCATGCTCTCACATGTGCACATCCTCACATACATACACACATGTGCATGCACACCACACACACACGCACACACACACGCACACACATACACACACACACACACACCTCTGTGCGTGTGTGCGTGCATGCAGCTTGACTGTCGAAAGCACTGGTCACTCACTTTTTCTTGAGCTGGATAAGGGCATTCATTGTGTTGTATGTGGCTTGCACAAAGTGGAGCTGAAAACTGCTGTCCTCAAAGTGTTTGTGATAATAATGGGCTTCTCATGGATGAGACATGAGGAAGTTGGCTGCTGACGAAAGAGGCGTGGCCTTTTCTCTGAGGGAAATTGCGTGTTTGTATCATCTTTGTACATTGCAAACCATGTATCTGCATCCCTTGTTCCAATGCAATTATGTGATTTGTGACCTACAGTGATGGTACCGTTCTGTGGATATTTTTTGACTTTAAATAAATTACTAGATGTGATACTTGGTGTGCTGTTGCAAATACATTAGAGAAAAAAACAAACATGGTGCAACTCCTAGTGACTGGTGAAATGTTCATTCTCTGTTGGTGTGTTGTAAATTATTCTCCCCTACCCCCCAAAAAAACTTGTCTTCTATATTTTACTTTTGCAAATTTTTTATGCACTTCCTATAACAGATATTAACCTATTTCTGTTTGTGTGTGTGAACTAGCAGAAATAATATAATTATGATGTAACTTGAATGGACCCTTGGCAGAGTGACCACATTTCAAAATCTAAATCCATTGTTTCATTCTTTTGTCGCTGCTCACGAAACATGGGTTGTCATGGTCAGAAATAAAACTGGATGTTTCTTTTTGTATGCAAAAAAAAAAAAAGATTAATGATAGAATCAGCTACATTCTCACCTTTTCCCTTGTTGGATTTGTATTGTAGATATAACTTAATATAAGGAAGAGTAGTTTTAAATGATAATTGTTTTGAGAGTCAAACTGATGGTTTGAGGCAGCAGCAACGGAGGACAAACCTTATCTGTCTGCTGCCCCCCCCCCCCCTCAAATTGATACAGAGCTTTACAAAGATTTTAAAAAAGCTTGTTCGTGTGTTACCCCAGTGCAATCATCTTAGCTCATGAGAGTTTTGTGTTTTGTTGACCCACCTACTGCTTCCGAGAAGCTTTTTGTGTTGTGTGCTTGCAGCTTTGAAACAACTTACAATGCGTACTGACTATTGTTTGCTCAATGTATAGAGACTAGTTCAATATTCAGGCTCAGTTCATCTTTGCCTCACTGCCCCCCTCACTTGGACCTCGTTTCTCGTCATGATACTGTTGTTCCTGCAGGTTAGAAGGGTATATATAATCTTTTTTGTGTCATATGCTGCTTACCCAGGGATGTACACTTAAAAGATTTTTTGTTCCATTTGCTGGGACTTGTTAGTTGAAAGCACGGTTGTTCCACGGATTGTCCAAAGGTTTTGTATTTGTCCTCATTCTGTCGCCATAACCATAAAAACGAAAAGTGCAAAAGGGGCAAATGGGTCTTTAATGATATGTTACCTTATTGGGGGTACTTTTTCGTCTTACTGTTTGTTCGTTACTGGACTTTCAGTTTATCGCGTATTTATTGGACGTGATTGTGCAACATTATTTACATTACTGGTATATTTATCTCTATTATGCTTTCCCAGATTTGCTCCTGCGGTGTCTTTGTGTAGCGGGTGACATTTTACTTGCTTAGCCCATTAGGTACCCTTTCAAAGTGACAACTCTTTACAGTCTCAAATTGATTGCCCCTTCTGCCCTTTTCTCTTTTTTTCTGTGGTCAGGGTCTGATGCCTTTATAGGTGGTTGTTGTGACTCTACTGGTCAAACTTTGGCAACAATGTTCTAAACTAAGTCATGGGTCTTGTTGAAATTGGTGTTGTGGAGGAATTGTTTTTGCTACTTTTGGGATTTTGGTAAGTTCTTTTTTTGAAAAATTTGAGTGTTTTTATAGCGTCAGTAAAATGGCAACTTGTACTGGATACTTCCCAGGAAGTTGAGATTGGTTAAGAATGCTGTCAGGTCTGCTGGAGTAATACTATAGACTGTAAAGCGTACAGAGCTTGCTGTTGAGCGGGGATTTGCGCTATACGAAAATACTATTTATCATTATTATTTTTTGTGGAGTGTTATTCGTATAATATAGAAATTTGTGCTCCTAGCCTGAAATATGTGTCACTACGCAGTGGAATCAGGCTCTCACCAATTTCTGGCATGTGGAGTTATTGGTATTATCTTAATGCCTGTCCATTTGCCTTGCTTTCGAAGATAAAATTTCCATTTATCTTGGATACATGTCAAAATATTGGCGATTTAAGAAGGTGGGGGAAGCCTGGCTTCAGAGGTAAAATTAGCAAGAAAACAGCTACCAAAGTTTAGTTATTTCCTTAGCTCAAGAGTCAGTGGAAACTTAAAATTTACATCTTTTATACTTTATTCAACGTTTTTCAGTAAAATCCACACGGAAATGTGTTCTTTAATGGGTATGAAAGGTGTTTAGCCAAAAAACGAAAATTCGATAAAAATTCCCAAACCTGCGGAAAAATGCCAGTATCTTCTCTTTGATTAGTTTGACGAGCGCCTGATTTCGCCACGCTGCCTGACATATATGTATCACCTCTGATCTGTTGTAGGACTAAACAGCTGAATTTGTTGACCGACCGTTGATGACATTATGAGAGGAGAGCTTTACTCCTGAATACCAATGAGCAACTGGTTTGCAATATTTTATACATGCATACAAATGCTGGAGGCATTCATGGATCTTGTACACCTGACCTTTTTTCGGCCATTCTCTTACGTTTACTCAGAAGCCGTTTGAAGTATTCATAATTTGTGGTACCACGTTACGATGGTGGATGTGTCTCAAAGACACCACTTTGTTGGACACTGCCTGTGTAAGATAAATTCTTGTGTTGCGTATTTATGTCAAGTTTAATCATTGTTTGGAGGATTTGTACCTACGTAGTTATGTCTTTTCTGCTTTTGTTGGTCTAGTGTAATTTTGCTTTACGTGAATGTATTATACGCATTTTGTACTCTAGTGTATAGTGGTGTGAAAATATACATGTATGTATTTATCCTTGCTTTATTTGGCTGTACAAAGAGTTTTTGTAACCTCAGATAATTTTTGGCCTCAGACGTGCTCCAAGTCCAATGTTCAATGTGTTTGAATTAATTTAATTTCCTCCCTTCCTCCCTCCTGGAGAACATATTCAGCTACCATTATGTACATAGAAGTTTATGGGAGTGTCAGAGTTGTGGGAAATGGAAAACGTAAAATTTTTTAAAATTCTTTAATATAGTTCTGTACTTAAAAAGTTTATTTCAAGAGGCGATAGATGTCATTTATGACTTAAATTTTCAAACCAAGTATCATATCTGATGCTTTATCTTCCCCCTCCCCATCTCCCCATTCCAGTTCAAGTGTCAAAACTTCTTTTTAAATATTTTGTTAATTTTCTGATGGTTGAATATGCATGTGCAGCTTTACCTAAAACACAAATTCAAAGATTTTTTCTGGTACAATTTTGTGTTCGCCAAAATGTTGTTCCATTCTGCCCTTCAGCTGTATGTAGATTTTGTCCATTGGTTGCTTGAGGGCATATTTTTTGTCTCTGTTGTATGGCATGGGCAGTTGTTGGTTGTTGTTTTTTTCATGATCTATGTCCTTGCTTTTTTCCCGTGAAAATATTCCAAATTTTATTAAGTGGTGCTGCTTTCCACCTCGTAGGACTCGGGCTGATAGTTAAAGACTGTAGTGGAGAGGATCCTGACCTTTGAATGGCAAAGATTTTATGTGCTGACCGAAGTGAGAATAGCTAGCTCCTGCAAAGTACTACTTTGAACCCTTTTTCTTAATCTGGTTGTGTCAGTATCAATGCAATTCTTGTGCTGTATTTTTGTTTTTGTGAAGAGGAGAAAGATTCTATCTCTCAAAAGCTATGCAAGCATGTTTCAGTCTTTGATTTTTCAAATATATTCTGTCTGTGGAGTGAGGAACTTATAGACCTTCCAAGTCGCAAATTCAGATTATTTTCTCTCACTGTGGTTCCTTTTCTCGTGTTTGTTAAAGAAAAGTCCCCATGGGACTGGCTTGTAGAGGAACTTTTTATCAGAGTTCTTCCTTTTTAAAAAATGTTTTCAATGATCACTTTGGAGTCTTGTTGAGTTGACGGAATAGTTGAGCAGCATTGAAATTATGTTCAAGACGAAACATCTTTTAAAAGTCAAGCTTGTTTCCATTTCACGAGAAATTAAAAGTTCTCTCAAAAGTGTTCTCATTGTGACATATCAAGTCTTGCAACTCTAAGAAAGATTTTTGACCTCAGGTTTTTCTTGTTTGATGTTCTAAGTAAGAGTTTATCGGTGAGTTTTTCTATTATGTGCAAATGGCATTGTTATGACATAATACAGCATAGTTTACCTCATTGGAAGCTGTAGATGTAAACCATTCTTCAAGGCCAAACAATTTTCGACAGTGTCTCGAAGGAAGCGCGGCCGCCACACACGCATCATGAGCCAATGTGTACAAGCCAGGCAATGGACAGTCTTGCCTCGGACTTTGGCCTTAGGGTTTTGGGTTGGGTTTTTTTTCATCTCACGGACGTAGCATTCAGGCCTAGGAATATAGCCACTTTGTCTAGTATGTTTACACAGTTGGTACAGGGTGTAGAAGTTTTATTTTTTTCATGCTGAATTTTTGTTAAACGTCAAACTGGCATGGTTTTTTGTTTGACTTTTGGGGTAAATTTCACGCTGATAACAAATTTGAAATTGAATTTCTTATCCCACCACTCCACTCAACCCTAGACCAATGGGAAAAATATTGGTGTAAATTAAATTTCTGGACCTGGGCCACACCTCGTGCCTGGCCTCATTTAATTGGACTCACTCTGTGGTTTTCAACGATTATAGGAGGTACGGGGCCAGATTCTTGTGTGTGTGGGGCTGTAAAGGGTTTGCAGCAGCTTGATAATGAAGTATCTTTGTATCCTTATTAATAGATATGGGGGGGGGGGGGTTGTTACGGAATAGCTGCCTTTGATCGAACCTGTTCAAATACGAGCTTCAAGATTTGAAAAAAAAAGTTTGTTTTGGGTTGTTTTATTTTTTGGTTTTGTATGGAAAACCTTCAACGTTGACTTGCTTGTATGCTTTCTATTGTATTAAATAATTATTTTTCCAGTGGTTTGTAACATACGTCACCATGTGGGCTAACTTAACTTTGTATGCCATATTCAAGATTTGCATTTGTACATACGTTCCCAACCAAGAGATGATGAAAGAAAGAATTTTGAGAAAGAGAGAGGGATGGTTTTGGGGGGGACTTGTGTTTGACATGGTTTTTTTCCCCTCATCTCGGGCATCCTGTTGTATGTAGATATGTATATAGCTTGTATGCTTGTGGCAAGTTGTGCAGTTTTCCCTAGTGGTTTGTAAATAATTGTGTGAAAAGTCCATGCTCCTTTTGCTTTCCTTCTAGTACAAGTATAGTCAGTCAGCTACAAATTTGAAGCTTTCAAGCTTTCCTACAATAAAAGGTCACGATGATCGTGTAATGCAGACATGACGTAGTAGATCTGAGTGTACATGTGCCGAGAGATACAGCTGAGTACTCTTTTCTTCACTGACATTCTGGGAAATGTTCGTTTGTCAGGAATTTTGGGGATTTCTGAGAAAAATTTCGAAGTTGGGTTTAAAAAAAAAACGTTATCAATTTAAAATGTTGGTGATTTCTATAGAGAAGTAATCAAGGCAAATGGGTGTGTTTTTTTCCTTGAATATATGATGTACAAAAATGGCCGTTTCCAGCACCTTGGCCTCAGATGCTTT